CAAATTCGAATTGATGAGCTCATTGAACCAAATGCACATCAACCTATTTGGCTGCTGACCCTGCTATTCAGGGGGAAATACCCTTTTATTTTAGTCCTCAAGTGGTGGGGTGCTGTCCTCCTCCTCCTCCTCTGTCTCTTAGGAGGAGTTCTACCACAGTAAACATGGAACATAAATTTGAAAACTACTTCTTGTCCAGCCTGAATAAGCAGGTGATCCTGTTAGTGCCACCAGGGTCTTTTGAAGATGATGCCCTACATCTGACCAGTGTGAGTGTATATATTTAACCCTCCTGCTCATCATCTCTACTGGGTACATGCCAGTTTACTATGCCGACTGCTCAGGCTGAACTCAGGGTAGGGCTTTGCATGAGAGCCCCCACCCTGACACTGTCACCAGCAGCCAGCTCCTTTGGCACCTTCTGCTGTGACACATGCGCCAAGATCTCCTGCGGTGACCTGCTTCTGGCCCGTGCCTTATGCAAGTCCCAGGGAAGTGCTGACTCCAGAGGTCTGCTGTACTTAACCAGCAAAGCAGCAAGGGTGCTGGGCTGCATCTCTGCTTTCCCCACTGGGACAGGGCATCCTTTCCTCCTGCGGGATGTGCAGACTGCACAGAGCAGGGACGGCTGCGATGCATGACGCAACACAATGTATGGGAGAATTAATCTTTCCAGACAGCTCTCACTGATGCAAGGCAATGTTTTTTGGAGTCAGGGGTGGGTGAATGCCCATGCAGCTGCAGCTGCAGTTGCCGATGCAGCTGCTGAAGGGCCTGGCAGTTTGGTGCAGGTGTACCTGGCACCGGGGGTTCCAGTGCTCAGGTGGTTGCAGGTACCTGTGTGCCATGAACAAAAGGAACCTGGGCAGATCAGTAACCCCCCTGAGTCCCAGAGAACTGGCACATCTCAAGACCCACAGTGACACAGGCAGCTGGGCACCAGGGAAAGGTGGCACAGCCTGCAAAGCCTGCTAAGGGCCCTGATAAGAAAAAGTGGGTAATTCTACCCTTTAGACTGTATCGTTTCTGTGACTGAATAATGAAATTTTTATTGTGACAAAAATTCTCAGGGGACACAGTGGACAGTTTATCAGTGCTTCCCAGGATGATAACGTGTGAAATAGGCCACAGGAGTTTATGTAGAAAGGAAGGCCCTTTTGGGATATGCAGGCCAAATGGCCAACTGGCACATTTCTGTGCAAATAGCAGCCAGAGCAGAGAGCTCCATAGCCACAGGAACAAACCCAGGAGGAGCACAAAGGGATGGGAGCACTGTTTGCACTGTAACCTGAACCCATTGTAAATAGTGCTGGATTACCAGTGACAGAGCTGGAATGTTGCAATTTATTAGAGTTTTTGAATGAATACTGCAGACACTCAATGTTGCTTGAATTATGGATTTTTAAAGCACTTGCTTATGCTCATACTTACACTATAAATTAAACAGATCTTTTATGAGACAGTGCTATAGAATTTTTAAAATATCTCAGTGTAGGAATCATGTAGTCATTTGTGAGTTTTTCAGGTGAAATAGATTGTGGATGTGTTAGACAGAAAATAAACTGTATTTTTTTTTTTTTTTTTTGGTTNTTTTTTTTTTTTTTTTTTTGGTTATATATATATATCAATACTTCATTTTCTGGTGTTGTGCTTGTGTCATGATGTACTTTGCTGCTGAGACCTGCAGCTGTTCATTTACACCTTAATCTAGTCCACACATGAATGAAGGTAGGAAATGATTGTGGCATTACTTTCCTTTAGTAAGTGCCTGAAGTGGAAACAAAAACCCTTAAAATAAGTCTGATTAATATTTATGAGTAACTTGAGACCCCCCCCATTAGATGCAGACTTGAACTTAACACTCAGTTCAGTGGGGCCTGGCATTTATGGATATTGAGGTTGCTGACTTAGAATTTCAAGGTCTGTTTTATGGAATATTTGGAGCTCCCACTTGGTAATGAGTATTATGCACACACAGGGATGACTGAACTCTCCAGTGCCTGGTAATCACAAATTGCTGGCCTTACAATTGCCAGTTGTAATATATTGCTATAAGTGTCATCACCCTAAACATTCAGCTCACAAGTCAGACGATCCAAAAGGATTTGAAAGACAACATTCCTCCAAATGGACTTTGTTCTTTTAAATTATTTCCTGAACCAAATTATAATTAGCCTCAAAGTTCAATGTTTTGAATTCAAACTCCAGGCCAGGTTTGGAATAAGGAATGAATTGACACCACAGATAAAAAAATTTCTCATGCTTGAGGATTTTGTAATAAAAATGTTATGGTTTCTGTGAATATCTGGTTTAAAGTGTAATGGGCAGGAAAAGCAATAAGAAGATTGGGCATTTTTGCTAGTTTTATAGGGTCAGCTATGCTGAAGTGCTATTACAGTTAAATTATTTCCAATATTGTCTGTGTTTCTGTGTGTCCATACACATACATATATATAAATATTTATGGACATGTATAAAAATATATACTGGAAATGACAACTGCTTTATACGGAGAGACCAGAATTATCAGCTTAATATGTCCATTCCCAGATAGCATCATTCCATAGATCTGATAACCCAATGATTAGCAGTGCTTTGCTATCTGTAAAAATGTGGATTCCTTTTGGGCATTAATTAACAGTGATTGCTGTCATTGTCAGATATAATGGAAGGGATGGAATTACAACAGCAGGACCTGCAAGGCTCTGGCATGCTTTGTTCTTCTTTACTTGCAGGGCACTGTCATTTATATTGACTCAAAACAAGCTTAGTTCATTTCTGTTGGGATGTTTTTGGAAAGGTTGCTGGATTATCAATAGTTACTTTAGATGTACATGCCAAAGGGAAAGGAACACAGAGGAAACAGTAATAAAAAAGAGGTTTAAATTCCTTCGTGAATTTTGTTATGAACAGTGAAAGGGCACAGCAGTCAAATCAAATTGATGCCTGACAATCATGGGAGATGTGAGTTTTCCTGTGGGAAGCAATGAGATCTGATTTGCAGAGCTTCAGCTAATGCACAGACCAGAAATATTGCTCTCTCTTTGGACTTGAATTCTTTTCTCTTCTATAGCTCTGTGAGTTTTGTTCACAGACCTTGGAGAGGACTTGAAAGAGAGACAAGGGAAACAGTCCACTGAGGTTTAGCAGAACAAAAGAAATCCAAATGTTCTAAGATATGGAAATGCAATAATGAACCCCAATTATCTATGTGTGCAATATCTGTACTGTTACAATTAATAATTTATTGTCCCAATGTCCTGGATTAGAAGATTTTTAAAGATTCATTAGGATTGACTTTCTTCTTTGGGATACTCTTAGGTATTTTGAAGATTGAGCACTGTAATTTGGGAGAAGACACATTGCCTTTTGCAGATGTAGAGGTTCAATTCATGCTTCAAACACAAAATTAAATTCAGAATTAGCTAGAGACCGAATAATCCCTCTTACAAATTTGTGAAATGCCTTTGGTAAAGTGCATCAGAACTTGTCCTTTCTACTTCAGTTTTTCATTCACATTCTCTGAGAAGCAATTTCTCCATCACAGTTTTGTGTTCCATTTCCAATAGAAGCTCACATCCAAATTATCTGTGGGCTGCAGCTTTCCTGGTGCCCTGGCACTCTATCCTGCAAAATGCTTTTTCACAGCAGGTCATTGATCTTCTAGTCTAGCTTGAAGGTAGCTGAAATGTCAATACAGCTTCTAGCCATTTTTTTCTGTTCTTTTTTTCCAGTGATGTATGAATTATAATAATACTGAAAATGTATTCCCTAATCACAGGCTAAGGATTAGGGATTTGTACCATGGAAATTCTTCCCTCATATTGAAGCCATATCTTAAATTGGAAAACACACCAAGTCAACTAATACTGTCCTTTTTGGCCCTCTACATTGCCTGCTGTATTTTCTATAAACAATGAAGTTTATGACATTAAAAATTGTAACATAATTACTCAGCTGACTATATCCCAAGAGAGTAAAAAGGCCTTAATGTCCATGCAGTGCTTCACTAAGAACAACACTAAATGTTTGAAAATTAGGCAATCATGCAAAATAATAATAATAAAAAAATTTGGCAGTAACAATTGCAGTTTCTTGCCCACCTCTGTCCATGCTGGCAGTAGCAAGCACTGCTAGGTGACAGTGTCCTTCATCCGAGGCCAAATCTCAGCAGTGAAATACGGATTCAAATTAATAGTGCACAAGAGAGGGAGGGAGTGGATTTGCTTCCTTAGCTTTAAGTAAATGAAGTGTTTGAATGGCAGTGAGGATGTGGCACAACCAGAACTATTTCAGGCACGTGATGAGGCTGTTTCTGTTTCTGTTGCTGCCCAGGAATCTAGAATGGCAGCAGCACAAGGGAATAGACACCAGAGATGAAAGCAGAGACCAGATGTGTCAGGAGAGCTTCAGCCACAACACTGCAGCTTATTTGCAAGGAAGAAATAAGTTTATAATGGATCAGATGGGAAATAACAAACTTCTCATGGCACATTCTACAAGAATTGCAAGAATTTGTGAAATTTATCTTGGGATGTTAAAAGGAAGTGCCAAAGGGAGGCTTCAGTGTGGATCAGGAAGGTACCAGTGCACGGCAGTGGAGAGGAGGGGGCATGACAGGGTCTGGTGGAGTGTCAGGATGCTTCTCTGATGAGTTCTCTCTCTGATCACTGCAGCCTGTCCCAGCTCTTTACTAACTCATTCCACTCTCTATAACAGGCCCTAATAGTTATAGCAAGCAGAAGAAAGTTCTTTCTAAACCACAGAGCCTGCTTTCTAGAGCATCCAGCTTCCCACGTAATTTATGAAATCTGAGGACATCTGAAACTAGGGTGCTGTGAGTTGAAATCTGCTATATTTGCAACTCCTGGCTAGATAAGTCTGCAGTGCTCCACGAATGAAGCATTAAATGGTGCTGTATTTTTAAACTTGCAAAGACTTTCAATTCTGTGAGCAGTGATTTTTGCATTTTAACTGGTTTGACTCCTTGCTCTCCCCAGGGGAAATGGAAGAGTTAGAAACCCTGTGGCTGACTGGTATTTGTCACAACGAGAAGAACGAAGTCATGAGCAGCCAGCTGGACATCGACAACATGGCAGGGGTGTTTTACATGCTCGCAGCAGCCATGGCACTCAGCTTAATAACCTTTGTCTGGGAGCACTTATTTTACTGGAAACTTAGATTCTGCTTCACTGGAGTCTGCTCAGATAGGCCGGGATTGCTGTTCTCAATCAGCAGGGTCAGTACTACTTTCATTTTTCCCCCTTAGGCAACAGAAAGAATAAACACTGCCTCCCTAAAACATTATCCTTCCTTTTATTCTCACCTGGACATTTAAAGTGCATGTTAGAGCAGCAGTGTGGTGCTCTGGATTAGTCAGTGGGGCTTAGGATGTACTTGCATTCCTTGGGAAGTCTTAATCCATTGGACTGTTTAGGGTATGAATTATCATATGCCAAGATAATCAGTAATCGAATACTGAATCAATTAATGATTGAAAACTGAATCAATTAATCAGTAATTGAATACTGAAAACAAACACAGTAAGAGAAAATTTCGCTGAAAAAATGGTAAATGCAGGAAATGTATTAATTTCCACATTAAAAATCCAAACAAAACAAATACTAATTGGATAAGAGACATTAGCTGTCAGCTTTGTGCATTTCTTAAACAAGAGAATTTTAAATTATAAAAATACAGTGGAATATTTTTGTAAGGTTTTCTTGATAAAAAACTTGAATAAACTGTATGAGAAAAGGTCAAACACAGGTATCATTTATGTCTGATTAGACACTAAGGCAAATTTTAATAATAACTTTACCAGACCCAAAGGGGATTTACATATGCAAGAAACTGATACTTGTACAAAAAAAAAAAAAAAAAAAAAAAAAAAAAAAAAAAAAAAAAACCAACAACAAAAAAGGAAATGTGGGCTTATTCTTATGTTTTTTACAAATTGGTTGAGTTTTTTCTTTATATATTTTTAAAACAGATAGAACTTTCATTAGGCAATTGATTTTTCTGGATTTTTTTTATATAGCTGAGGAGAAATGAAAATGACATAAAAATGGCTAATTGCTTTAAAGTGTGCTGCAATTACCCTGTTGAATAGATTGGAGCATTTTGGAACTGTATTAAAAATAGTCTGCACTACCCTATTGGGGATTGTCTAGAAACCACATGCACCTTAACATCCACATTTTATATTTGAACTTTATGTTTCTGGCCTTTTTGTATGAAATTCTCCTAAGAAATATAGGGGAAAAGAAGTATTTATGTCAAAGATAAATGTCTGAGAATTGCTACTTCTCAGGGTTGGAAATGTCAATTGGGCTCACAGGAGTGACCAAAGAGGTTGAAGTGAGATAATGGGCTTCAGCCTTTTGCCCAAAATTAACTCAGTTGCAGCTTTAGAAAGAGCTGGGGTTTTTTTCACATGTACTGGGATAGGGATCAGAAAAGCTAAAAATGATGACTAGAAGCCTTTTTATTTCAGTACAAGTGAAGAGTACCTTAATCTCCAATAAAATAGTCCCACTACAGGCTAGTTTAGAGGGGAAACTTAATCACTGGTTTAAAATAAGAGAATATTGCTGAAGGTTAGTTTCATTTTGTGACAAGATTAGGGAACCCTTTGAGGTACCTTCTAATCTTGTATTCTGGAATAAGCTGAGGAGGCCAAGAGAGACCACTGGTTTGTGAAATACTGGCAGTTTTTCTCCTTTGTAGTTCTAACAGATATAGGAGAAAATATTCCTCCATTTCAATGCAAGGAAAAGATAAAAAGCTAGAGATGTACTATTAATCTTTCCAGTAATGAGATAAGAAATTTTTAATTTTTCTTTATTGCTAATTAAAAATGGAAGTTGTAAAAAGTTATACCTAGTGATTTAATTTGTTTTATATTTCTCATATTACAGGGTATTTACAGTTGCATTCATGGAGTACACATTGAAGAGAAAAAGAAGTCTCCTGACTTTTCTTTGACCAATTCACAAACCAACATGTTAAAACTGCTGCGAACAGCGAAAAACATGACCAATATCAATCCTTCAAGGATTGACTCCCCCAAAAGAACAGCTGATTTTATTCAGAGGGGTTCTTTGCTTATGGACATGGTCATGGATAAGGGAAACTTGATATTTTCTGATAACAGATCCTTTCAGACAAAGGACAACTTTTTTGGTGACAACATAAGTGAACTGCAGACACTTCCTGGCAATAGACACAAGGACAATCTGAACAACTATGTTTTCCAAGGGCAGCATCCTCTCACACTGAATGAATCCAATCCAAATACAGTAGAGGTTGCAGTAACAACAGAAGGAAAAGCGAACTCCAGACCCAGGCAGCTTTGGAAGAAATCTGTTGAATCTTTACGCCAAGATTCTATACGTCCAGGCCAAGGCTCCCAGAGAGAAAATGGGTCAGAGGAAAACAGGCAGCTTTCACTGAAAAGCCAAAGATACCTTCCTGAAGAGATTGTCCATTCAGATGTCTCAGAGACATCAAGCAGAGCTACTTGCCACATGGAAGCTGAAAACAACAACAAGCACCACAAAACCAAGGACAATTTTAAAAAAAGGACAGGAGCATCAAAATACCCAAAAGACTGTAGTGAAGTGGAACTGACATATCTGAAAACCAAACAGGGCTCTCCACGGGATAAAATCTACACGATTGATGCTGACAAAGAGCCAGGATTCCGCTTGGACACACCTCAGTACATCGAAAACATTGTCCTTCCAGAGCCTGTAGAGCTTCCTGATGTTTACCAAGATCACAACGACAACTACAGGAAAGCTGAACACGCTAATAGGACTCCATCACATAATGAAGACAGTCTTCCAAATAATGACCAATATAAACTTTATGGAAAACACTACACTCTCAAAGAAAAAAATGCTACCCTAGGTGACCTGAACGATAGGTACAGGCAGAATTCCACCCACTGCAGGAGCTGTCTCTCCAACATGCCCACGTACGCGGGGCACTACTCGACCAGATCTCCCTATAAATGCGACGCATGCTTGCGGATGGGGAACCTCTATGATATTGAGGAAGATCAGATGCTGCAGGATACAACGAACTTATCACTTCCTGAAGAAATATATGAGCGTACTTGGTCACAGAGTAGTGCTCTGCAATATCATAAAAAGAATAAACTGAGGATTAGCAGGCAACACTCTTTTGATAATATCGCTGATAAGTCCAGGGAAATTGATATTGGAAGACCTTCTCGTAGTATAAGCTTGAAAGAAAGAGAGAAATTTCTTCAAAGTAGTCCATATGCAAGCATGTTTAGTGTTCCCTCAAGCAAACTGTTGAGCAACAAGGCCTCACTTTTAACTCATGCTCTGGAGGACAGTAAGCGGAGCAAGTCCCTGTACGCTGTTCACTCGGATGATAACCCCTTCCTGCACTCCTATCGTGATGACCAGCATTTATCTCTTAGGCGAAGTCCAGCAGATCTTTATAAACACTCATTGCCAACAAGAGGAAGAAATGATAATTATTTAAGGTCATCCATACAGTCTACAGCATCATACTCTTCCAGGGATGGTCGGATCCATAATGACATGTACATTTCAGAGCATGTTTTGCCTTATGTTGCAAATAGGAATAGCTTGTACTCAACTCCAAGGGTTTTAAATTCCTGTAGCAATACACGTGTGTATAAGAAAAGGCCTAGCATTGAATCAGATGTTTAAATTTTCCATGAACACTTTATCTATAGGGAAAGAATAGTTGCCACCATCTTAGAGGGAGAATTTTTCCTTTAACAGTATCCTGCTCTAGTAAATGATACATAAACCTCTCCCTTTCCCAATGTACTTTTGTACATGAATAAGTAAACCGGTATGCTCTGATCTATCCTTTTAAAATATGTCTTGTTAAAAAGGATAAAAAATAGCCATTTATGTGTGCTTTATATATAAATGGCAAGTTGTACTGAAATAGCCCCAATATATGTTGGCAACTATGCTGTTTTGTACCTAATTATTTTACTATTTCGGTTATTCTAATTTATGTTGCTAAGTATCATTCAATGTACTTTTGTCCTTAGAAATGTTTAATGATTTTCTAGTACTGGATAAGCAATATGGTATGCATGTAGTATGACACAGACAACAAGAAATAGGGATGCATTTGCACAGATTCAAAAGTAAGACTCTAAAAGATAACAGAAATCTAAGACATCCAAAAATATATTTTAACTTCATAATCATTTTCAAAGCCAAATAATAATTAAAAAGACTCCCAAACCCCAGGACCTTAATAAATAAAATACAGTGTGTTAGCACAAAATTAGGATGTTCCTTCTAGACTGACAGACAGTAGATGGGAAGGCAGTAACCCCAAACATGTGAACTGCTGTGTACCAGAAGGAAGCCCCATGGATATTAGTTAATGTTCATGTACAAATGCTTTTCTTATATTGCACATGCACTTACCATTACAAAGTAAGTTCATTGAAAAGTTTGCAGTAATCTTGTCAGAAATTTCACAGCTGCCTAATCCAGAGTATATATTTTTAGATATCACTATATGGCACTTCCTATGGAGCTGTGGACTTTATTAGTAACCTTGAGGCCTAATGTGTACGTAAGTTTGCATTTGCCCCTTACTGGAGATTACTCAGGGCTGTATAGTATTTCTTTTATTCTTTCACTTCCCAAACCAAATCCCAACTCACTGTAGTTCTTTGTTCATAGTGTATTAGTGACAACTAATTAATTGTATATTAATAGTATTAAAGGTGTTAATACAGTATCAAACACCGACAGCCATAAGCTCAGTGTGGTCAGTGAGGAGCGTGGTACCATTTATTTCCATACACAGAGAAGGATTAACTCCTTTGGAAGGACTTCTTCCTTCCACAACATTGTGCATATTTGTGGAACATCAGACCATTCTTCTAACCTCTCCAATCAAGTCTGTCGTATAAAGTGAATATATGCACATGTAACTAAGAAACAGTATCTTTATTATCACTTACTGATACACAAAGGTATTCACATAACAGGGATGCATTGTTATATGACTTTTCCTTCTATAGATGTCAATCAGATTATTTCACAAATAAAATGTCTGCTACACACCCCTCCTTACCCTCACTGGAAGAAAAAAACCCACTCGATTTTAACCATAAAGGGGAAGAGAGGAAACCTTTCAGGAGAAGAGTGTACAGCAGTAAATTTAATTTCACCTAAAGAAGTAAATATACTTACTAATAAATTTAACTATTGAAAGTGTTCCAGAGGTGGTGCTCTCCAATTTTCCTGCTACTCTGAGAATTGCTTTAGGATTTTTATGTAGAGGAAATTTAGATTATTCAAGCATTATTCCCTCCATTTCACTGAAGAACAGTGAGCAGGGAAACCATTACCACTGTGAATTGGAAAATGTGAATATTATCCTAACTTTTCTCTAGACTGAAAATCTTTTCAGCAGAATCGTGCCTGTCAGCTGTAATTGAAGCATCTGCATGCCAGAGATGCAGTATGCAAGGTGTTTAATTTAGAACAGCATACTGCAGAGCAGAGTTGCAAACAGGAGATAATATAAATGATGTGTAGGGATAGTCAAAAGAAAGCTTCTTGAATTTTGTTTACAGATTTTTTTTTTATTAAACAGATTTAAATTGACTTTGGCTATCGAAGTCCAGAATGAGTTCTTTGTATTTGCAAATGTATTTGTACCTCCACCATGATGGTGAAGGATGGTATTTTTTAAGGAATGAAATGTAATGAGATTTGGGCTTCTGAGTCTCTTTCCAGCTGCCAAAACTCCCAGTATACTTTACTATAAGTATGATCAGAAAGCATATCTATGGGTATCTCTATGCTGTTCAGGCAAAAATATATTTTGAGTATTCTTTATTCAACATTTGTTCATAATTATTGGCCCTGATTCACACGGGAATGCTTTCTGATTCCTCACTGGAGGGAGGTTTTATAAAAACAAAAGCTCCTTGCACACCCTTAGAGAGATTCAGATTCCTTAGGAAGAGTTGTGTGAGCTAAGCAGGGTTAGGATGTCTGTGGGGTGAACACTACTTGTCATGAACCCAAACCTTTTCCCAAATACACAAGTATACCTTGCTCTTAAGTCTACAGGAAGGCAAATGCACTGAAGGCATAATGTGATAATGACTATAATAAAAATATTTCAGGCAAATTTTAATATACAGTCCAAATCATAGTAAATTAACAAAAATCCAAAGTGTTTTGAACTACCTGGTGTGTTTCAGCAGCTATGATATTTGCTGATGTCATGCCAAATCCTGCCATGGATGTTGCTGAGCATTTTACCCAGCAAATCATAAAACTCAGTGGTGGCTCTTGTCTTTCACATCATCATTAAGCTCTCAAGTATTTGTTGATCACTCCAAGTCTTTTGTATCATCATCTCTATCTAACCGGACACACATTATTAAATATTAATACGAGTACTGTATGGGAAGCTGTGGGAAAGAAAAATTCCCATTTACATTTTCTTCCTTGAGATTCAGTTGTAAACATCCTCAACCCAGGTGGATTTTTTCTTTCTGTGAAATGTACAAGCAAATTAGCTACAACAAAATACATTGCAGTGCTTGCTTTTTCTGATTTGAGCAGATTTCTGGTGACTGTAGAGATTTATTATTATTATCTGCAATATGCAATACAACCACCTGCCCTGAACCAAAATAATGAGACTGAGGGAAGACTTGATAATGTTGCACAGCAGTTGTTCACATGGAAATATAAGATGCTGCCTTAAAGAGGGGAAAAACCCCACCAGACACCAAAAGTAGGGGGAGTAAGAGTCTGCATGCTTCTGTTGTTTTGATCTTGGTGTAAATCCGAGTCGATAAAGGGGAGAGCTGAGGCAGGGCTGTGGGCAGTAGCCGGTGCGCTTGCAGATGTGCTCGTGTAAAGAAGAAGCAGCTGAGAAGTTGAAGAAAAATCTTCAACAGAGCCACAAGCCACAGCTTGTGAGGCTCAGTCTAGAGCGTGTGGAATTCTGAATTTTGCCTGAGCTTTGTTGATATATTTGCACTGACTTTCAATTAAACCGAGATCAAGACTTTCTGTATTTCCCTCTCTCTCTCACTCTAGCTGCTGCTATACTTGAAGAGGAGAAAAGAATCTTCCTGCATAAGTGGCCATCCTTTCTGTACCTTTCTGGATGGTGCTGGTGACTTGTTACATTTTCCTGATTACAGCTCTAGCAGTTTGTTGGTCATTCCTATCACCACGATTTCCTGTGACTCCAGCTGGAACTGGATCAGGCTGTAGATGATATGGGCCATTCTTGGTAGCATGTCCTGTAGTGTTACACTGCTCCTGGATGACACCTTTTGTGGAGGCAGGATATTGAATTGCTGAGGAATGCAGTAGGTACATGGAGGTAAAAACAGATATGTAGACATACCTGCCTCTTGCTTCTTTTCCTCTTTTAAAGATATTGTAGAATTTCTTCATGTTTTCTGTCTTTCCCTTTTCACCACAGTAAATTTTCCTTTTTTCTCTCAAATAGATTTTGTGTTCTGCTTGTGTTTCTTAGAACAGTGTAGCCACCCACTAATTTAAAAGCATGGAAATAAGATATTTTAATATATAATATAAAATTAAGGAAAATTAAGAGATTCTGCATTTCTGGAAAATTTAATTTACTGTTTTTGCAGCTTTTGCTCAGAATTCATTACTCTAAGAAGCTTGGTTAGGAGAAAGAGTGCTGTGGACAAACACAAATGAAATCACCGCCAGCTCACCGTGTTTTGGCAGCATCTCATAAATACATGTCTCTTTATGGTCTTTCAGGAACACTTAAGAGGTGAAATAAGGCTCACAAGGGAAATCAGGTGTGTTTTATTTTTTTCCTAATCAAAGCAAATCTTTTTATACAATTTTAAAGGAAGCAAAGGCTAGAGCTGTGTGAGCTTTGGGTTTCTGTGCTGGAAGGCTGAGCTCTTTCTGTTACCAGTGCGGAGAGAGAGAGAGAGAGAGAGAGAGAGAGAAGCAAGAGAAAGCAAGCTCCCTCTGGATGGAAGTTCAGAGGACTGAAGGCTCTTGAGCAGTTATGTGGGGGATGTGTCCAGAAATATATTACCTCTCTCTGTTGACTTTTTAGCAAGTATAGGCTTCTAACTGATATATCTCAGGTGGGTTTAGAAAAACAATGGTCTATTTACCCCCAGCCTCAAAAATCTGCCAGGTAAATCTGCAAGTGAGTACCAGGTTCAGCCTTGGAGGTGTTATAGGTTCCTGTGCTCATGCAAATAAGTTTTTTTTTTTTTTTTTTTGTGGGGTTTGCAATAACCCCAGCATAGTTGGGATGATAATGTGACTACCCAGCATGGGAGAAAAAGTCAGAATTGAATTGCTGTGTAATAAGTTTATACTTTCATATTTCTGCATATGCAGAAATTGAAGCATATGCACCTTAGAGATGGGGAAGATTTTGGTAGTGTTCCCTCCCTTGCTTCATTTATCAGCATAGAACAGAAATTGTGTCACAAATCTAAGGGTCTGAGAATCTGCCTGGATTTAGGAAGAATGCAAGAGGTGATTTTTTGTTTGTTTGTTTACATTGCATTTAAGATGTTTGATATATAAAACCTAGTGAAAACAGAACTTAATGAAAAAATGCTCTCCTATTTAATATTAAACAATAACTATCCTGTTGCTTGGCTAGATGGTGTCAAGTGTTAATCATCACATTTTGTGCTTCGTTCAAGTTGCTAAACTTTCCCAGCTCTGGTGTTAGCTCAAAAGTCCTTTTAAAGCAGATACCTTTCCTGTGCAGGACAGTTTGGTTTGCAACATAAAAACAGTTTTCCAGGGATATATTTAAATTATTTCCTCAGCAATGATTTTTTTTTTTTTTTTGTTAATCTAAACTTCCTTTCTATTGAGAGCCGAGCCTTCCAAACTTAGCAGTACTGAAGGAACTTCTGAAAGAACATAAAGGCTTTTCAAAGTGTGGCTTACAATACGAGCCATTTCCCTGCCCAAACTCACCTGTACTGTCTTATTTAAATGTATTGGCAACATGTCAGCATTCGAGGGAGCTCAGTTTAATCACAGCTGTGTATTTCTCTGTGATGTGAATACAAATACAGAGAGGAGCAGGGTTTGATGGAAGAAAGGGTCAATGTGCTCTGGCTGGAGTCACCAGTGAAGCTGTGGTTAAATGGGAGTAGCCTCACGACCGTGCTGTCTCTTACATGTTCTGGTCATGCAGAGTCTCTGTCTGATGTGCCCATGAGAGTCTCTGTCTGATGTGCCCATGCTGTACTTGGTGTGAAGCTCCTGTGGAGCTCCTCAGCTGTCCTTGTGGAGCTGCTCCCGTGCTCGCCCCCGTTCCCGTGTCACAGCGGTGTCTGTCAGAGGGGAGGTGGCTGCTCGTGCTCTCCAGTGTCTTGGCCCGACTCAAGGGGAGCTGCAATCCTGCCCTGCTTCTCCCTGCCCTGCTGGGGAGGGTTCCTGCACTCTCTGTAAATAAGCTCTTCATTTATTTCCCTCACTCAAGCTTTAACTTTTTTCCTCCCCCTGCTTCTCTTGACCTGTGTACAGAGTATGCGCTCTAAAAATATGTGCTCTTCCAAAGTCCTGTGACTTTGGAAGCCAGGAATACAGGTGTGCATCACTCTGCAATGCAGTGAAAATGCACTTGGTTCTCCTCGTGGGATCATGAGCTTTTTTGTTCCATACTGCAGAATGTATCTGTCATGGTTGAAACTGTTATTTTTTTAAAAAAATTCTGCAATTCTAACAGCTGTAAGAATCCACTGCTGATTTTGTGATGATTTTGTCATATCTATAATTTAAGAACCAGAAATAATATAATTAAAAATAAGTTACCTCACTATTTACCAGGTTTTTGTTGTTTTGCGCTTAAATGACAATTTTTACTCCTTTTGCTTAATTCTTTACCTGTATTGGAAACAAGGCTAAATTAGTAGAGAATATAGCCATGCTGTAACATTGTCATGCAATACCTTTATTAATAGATAACCACACTAAATATAGTATTACATATTTAAAAGAGAGATGGGTTTGACTCTCCAACTCTTAAAAAGTAGTGGTGATAAGCAGTTATACTACTAGATGTTTTGTCCTTTCCCTTTTGTATTAGTATTTGTTTTCACTAATATATTTCAAAAATTATATTTCTGTGCACGTTAGAAAACTGTGAAAATACATACCAATAAATATTGTGATACTTATTCAGTGCACTGTAAAGTTCCAAATGAGATGATACTTTGCTTTTGGGAATTGATGAAAGTTTCCTCACTTCTCAGAAATGGTACTAAGCTTTAATGTGAGAAAATGGTAATATTTACAGTGACATGAAATTTTAATGGAGAATGTCTTGTTTTGCACTTCTGGTACTACTAGAAGAAATGATATGTTTTTCTCAGCAAATGCATTATGAGATAACATTTTATAATTTGTTTTGTGCATTGCAGTATATAAGAATAACCGCTTTGAAGAGATTTGTGTTACTTCATTACTACAGCATTCTTTTGTCTGATAATTTTTTTTCCTGAGCCCATTGAATAATGGTGTTTAATGGCAAAATCCTTTTTGGGAATGTATTTTGGCTTCTGTCTCACATTGCAAACCCTGAGCTTGGACTTGTACTGATGCAGTTGAAGGCCCTGCTGAGGCTGCTCTGCCTTTCTGCGCTCCTGGGGATGGGGACCTTCCTTGTTCCCAGCTGGGACGAGAATAGAGGAGTCCAAAACACTTTTGGAGGATGTGCTGTGCAACAATACAAATGTAAATGATCTTCAAAAGTGAAAACAAAAAGAAATTGGAGGTTTAGCCACACTAGTGGAGGGGAGGGGTCTGTGACAGGGGTCTGCAGTTTCTGGAGGTCTTGATAATTTTTAACTAAAGTAATTTCAAATCTTCTTAAGTTTCTGAAAGTAACTGAAAAAGCGGGAGTTTCCTTTTTTCTTTTAAAGCCAAAGTCTTTACGTTTTCATATAAGGTTTCACAGGAAAATGGGCCAAAGAATACAATTAAATATGCAAATGGTTAATCCTATGGAAAAGGGTATCCTATTATCTTGATATGCACAAGCATATTAATGGTAATAGGAACAATGTGTGTAATTTTCCTGTATATTGCTATGTAGGTTGCACTATTTTGAATGACACAAGCCTGATATTTTAATGACCAAATACCATAATATGCTGTTTATTAATAGTTTAAACTTGTTAACCTAAATATATATACAGTATACACAGGCATGTGTGCATACACCTTCCAACCCAGTCATGCATGAGTAATCTCCCAAAGCTGTGGACACATTTCAGCAGTGCTTTATTTTAAGTGGTTTTCTCCTTTCCAAACCTCCCACATCTAGAAATTCTCTAGCAGCTTTTATTGTAGTGTTCGATACCAGGTACAGATGGGGCTAAAGGACTGGTTTGGGTCAGGATTGCTCTGTGCTGGGACACATGGAAACATTCAGAGTTGCTGTCCAAAAGAGCTGGAATTGATGCTTGCTGTAATAACCAAGCCGTAGGGAAAGGATGGCTTTTCATGCTGGTCTCAAAATCTTGGCCAGAGAGGCTCTATTGGCCTGGTGACTGACCTTAAACTCAGACTGACCTTAAACTCAGACTGACCTTAAACTCGGTGTCAGCTCATGTGATCCACATCTGGTCATGTTACTTAAGGCAGCTGAGGAAGGATCCTCCAGAACAAAATTCCCAGGGAAGAGGAGCTGGTGTGTGCACCAGCGTGTTCTCCCATGCAGACTGGGCAAGGTCTAAAGTGGTTTTGCATGCCAGGCAGGATTTATCAGTGGTGAGCAAGGCACTATCACATCTCTCCATGCACGGGCTTTTGTGCTTGCTACACTGGTGATGTGGAGATTTCCACTGAGAAATGAGCGTGGTATTTGGCTTCTTTTCTAAATTTATACTGCTCTAACTAAAACTTAAAAAAATACCTTGGAATCATTTGGTGGAAGTAATTACTGAGCTATTTTTGAAAGAGAAAGTTGTATAATTACCAATTTTTCCACCTTAACCAAGAAACAATACATTCTGCAGGGTCAGATTTTATTTACTGCTCATTGCAAATATATTTTGGAGCAGAACTTGGCTTCAAGAAAAATTTTGCTTAGCCTATTATTACCTGGTCTAGGGGAGTGATGGGAGTGCAGATCCTGAGTGCAATTCATGCTCAGATTTTAAAATTTCCCATGCTTTAAAACCTCATATTGAAAAGGTTTGGAAATTGCATCATATTGAATTGTATGCAGCTAGGGAGGAAACCAGTGCAATTCCAGTAAGAGCTGTTAGCTTTATACTTGCTGTCAGGTATAATATTTTAGAATAGTCTTGCTCATTTCAGAACATTCATTTTGCACCAATGAAGAACAGCCTGATCTCTCTGTCTTCACACTCACACCCATGCACAGTGGATCTCGTGCCTTCCCTGCTAAAACCAGGAGGCACAAACAGAATTCATTAATGTGTTAGGCAAACTCCTACCTGATTCTTAACCCATCGC